TCCAGTTTGGGGCTTCCTCCCTGTGGACAAGACACACTTTTTAATTGATTTGTCCTCCTCACTGGAGGACATGGGACCGATCCTCTTCCTCTTCCGACGGAGATTTGAGCTTTTGAATTCCGACTTCGAAGAAGAAGTTGAGAACCATTACCAAGACGTAACTACCAAGACCATCACCGAAACGGACGAAACTATCCCCCCAGTTACAATCGACGAATTAAAATCCCAAATACATCTGCTAAAGACCAAAACCGCTCCAGGCATTGACAAAATCTCAAACAGGGTGACTAAAATACATCTTCAAGGCGGTAAGTTTCATCGTTACAAATGATTGTTAATGATGAACCTTTTTTCCATAGCCTACTGGGGTTTAAAGTGAGCTAAAGTACACAACAGAATGCCAAGATCTTATACGTTATGCGCTATTTCCTATTGTTGGTATAAGCCAAGCAGTAATGCGTAATTATTGTACAATTCTTCATTGTAGTAACGTATTTTTTTTTGTTTTTAGGTGGAAGAAGGTTAAATTTAAAAGGTTTAGGAGTTACACAGCAGAAGCATTTGTCGCATCAGGCAAACATTTTATATGAGGGCGTTAAAAAATTAAAACGAGCTTTTCAAAGACAGGTAAGAATTAATAAAAACCTGTCGAAAATGAAACTTAATAATTTACAATCCGCCCTTTTACGAAATTTGGCCGATGTGAATAAATTCACAAGAAATTTTATTTTGTCGCAAACCAGAAATCAAAAGTTGAAACCCCGCGGTCGAAGGTTTTCTCTTGAGGATAAAATATTCGCTTTGTCAATTTACAAGCAAAGCGACAAAGGTTACCGATTCTTGTCTAAAATTTTTAGTTTACCATCTCGTAAAGCGCTTGTAAAGGTTCTACAACATATACCTTTTTATGCTGGAATTAATGAGTATATATTCCAGCATTTAAAGGTACGAGTTAATAAACTAACATTGTTAGACAGGAATTGTGTCCTTATGTTTGACGAAATTGCGTTGCAACTTGATCTTCAGTATAATTATAAACTGGACTGTGTAGATGGATTTGTGGATCTGGGTGGTGCAGATCGAAGACCAAAATTTGCAGATCATGCATTAGTTTTTCTTTTAAAGGGCATTCGCACAAAGTGGAAGCAACCAATTTGTTTCACTTTTTGCGAAGGCACCACGCAAACTGCAGATTTAATTAATTTAATTAAATCTATAGTTCGGAAGGTTCGTGAAACAGATTTGTCAATAGTGGCAACTGTTTCCGACCAAGGGGCAACTAATGCAGCTGCAATTAGGTCACTAATCCAAGACACTCAGCGCCAGTGTATAAGGAAAGGTGTTGATAATCGGTACCAAGGTTATCTCGTTGACGAAATGGAGATCGTTCATTTATATGATGTTCCTCATCTATTTAAAGGAATCAGGAACGGATTATTAAAGGCCGATCTCCATTTCGTTCAAGACGGGGTCCGCAAAGTTGCGTCTTGGGACTATTTGGTACAATTGTATCGGATAGACGGCAATAGGCCTCGTTTTTCTGCAATTTACAAGCTAACGGATGAACATGTGTGTCAGACATTGCACGCAAGTGTTCAGCAGAAGTGTGGCAACTGCTATAACGTTATTAGCTGAATTCAGTATTGGTTCGAACCAGTCTTCGGTTCACTATTTAGATCCTAAGGCAACGGATACGTCGGACTTGTTTTTGTTTCTGGATGAACTGTTTGACAGCTTAAATGCAAGCCAGATTGCAGTTAATCCAGGGAAGCCAATGCGGAGTGTGGTGGCACAAAATTCTAAACACGTTTCATTTTGGCTTTCCGATGCTTTTCCTGTATTAAAATCAATATCCTTTTCCAACTCCACTATCACTCCATCTATCAGAAACCTTATTTTTACCTTGCGTGGCTTCCTATACATCTGGAATGATCTAAGGGCGAAAACCTTTAATTATATGGCCCCTAGATCATTCAACCAAGATCCAGTTGAAAACTTCTTCAGCTGTATAAGAAGCCATGGCGTAAGAAATACCCGTCCTAATTGTTCCTATTTCATTTCTTCCGCCAAATCCCTACTTATTAATGGTTTTGTGTCATCACATTGTCTTGGGACAAAATGTGAGCCAGACGAATCAATAGGCATTTTAGAAAATTTAACATCTTTTGTTGAGACTCGTAGTAGCTTGCCACTTTCTGCTGAACATTTTCGCGTTCCGATGCCAATTTATTCAGCAACTGAAGCACTTTTTTGCAACAATCCCCCAGATTTTCCGTATGTTGCTGGAAAAGTGGCAAAAAAAATGTTGCTCAAGTTGAATGACCAAACTGTCGTCGATTAATAGAGTCGTCGGACGATCACCCCCATAATATTCTCATAAAACATCGCGAGTATATTATGGGGGCTAGACATTTGTCCCATCCGTCCACTCAATTTTTGTAGCCTCAATAGCCTTTAGACATATAGCTAATGTTATTTTCTTCCTGCTACCTAAATTCATAACATCTTATGGCATCAGGGAGAAAATTATTGATCATTTGCGCACAGAAGAGGACATTGGGCATGTATTCTGTGCTGAACACCAAGAGAATACATACCTACTGTACAAAGTGTGCGCAAATATCATTCTATTTGGCTATATATCTAAAGTTAATAAAATTTTAAGTGGACGGGACTTCCGTCATAAAGATGACGGCCAACTGACTCGATTGGCCTCACAGAACATACCCCCTACATACATAGGGGGGATATTTTGTGGTCTGAACCATAGAGTAAGTAAAATAATTTCTAATCTAAAAAATAATCTTATTTTACTTTCTCTATGGTCTGAACCATAGATGAAGACAAGTATAGATAGCCCACTCCCTTGGAAAAAACGATAACAAGGTTTTTCACTGACACTGTCACCATCTATTGCTGTTCATAACTAACTAACGTCATTGCTGGGATGCTGGGTTTGCGTGCATATTCAGGATTTGCTATGGTCGCGCGAGCCAATACTACAATTGAGATTAAAAGATGCTTAATATTCAGTTTCGATATATTTGTACAAAGGCCAGATTTGTTTCTGGTTTATAAACAAA